AGTGTATTATTTGTTGAAACTGTACTTTCGATTTGATTTGAAACTGTCTCATTGCTATATGTTTATCAATAAAACTTTGAAAAGAAAAAAAATACCTCGTAAAATTGTAAAGGTCAATCTGTGTAATACACATAAAATACCTTGAGCATTTGCCATGTAATAGGGGCTACGGACGCGTTGGCCGTATGATACTCTGATGCTGGGCAAAACTTAGGATGCACAGGAGTTTTTCAAAGTCATACTTAATGTATACTAAACATGTTTTGCTAGTTGATTTTATTTCTGAGCATTGGCGTCGTGGTTTAGGACACAGTTCATTAGTTTGTGATGTCAGCCATTGTATTTTTCTCACCTGTAGGTGCCTTCATGTTTGTGGCATGGGTGACTACTGTTAGCATAGGTGTGCTGATTGCCCGCTTCTTCAGACCTGTCTGGTCAAAAGTTCTCCTCTTTGGTGAGGCAGCTTGGTTTCAGGTAGGTGATGAAGAAAAATAACAACAACAACAACAAAACCTTAATGTAGTTTTCACATTGTTGAACATTTACAGCATCAATTATGTGGGGTTTTTTTTTTTCACAGTTGTAACCATTTAGATCCATCTCCCCTCTTTTGTTTCCTAATTAACTGAGAGCAGATGTAACATGTTTGATAGCAAGGCAAGTTGGACCAGAGAGTGTGATAGCAAGGCAGACTGGACTGGGGAATGTGTCAGGGCTGCGTGTGTCCCTAGTGGCATGGCCGTCGGCACCCAAGTGACCCTTCCTTGCACCTCTGTGTGGGGGCAGTTGTGTCAGAACAGCACTCATCACCCCTCTGAGTAAAGATGAATCAAGGACGCCTGGAGGAGCTGGAGGAGCAGGGGCACTTCCTGCCCATCTGATAGAATTTCGTCCTCTGCCTGAGGGGCAGTGTGGAGGGGCTGTCCCTAACTTGGCAGCCAGGGCCATCTGTTTCCCAGTCAGTGGGCAGAGAAAGTGGAAGTGTTCTGTGTAGCGTCCCTTCCCATGGGATCAGACACAGTCTTCTAATGGAAGCCTAAGCACAAGTCATAAATAATAAAGTCAGACAATTCCCTTTCGTGGGTCTACCAGTATTTTCACATACAGAGGAAGACCAATGAGTATGGAAGAAAAATACTGCTGATGGAACAGTTTAGACTTTATTAGAGGCTGTTCTTCACACTTCATCTAGATTTGTAGCATGTAGGATTGTCTCGTGGGTGTCTCATGGCTCTCATGTTGCTCTCCCCTCGACTCTGCTCCTGCAGGTGGTCCTCACTGGGTGACTCTGTGGTATGATAAAAAAAATACAAGGACTATTTGTATAAAACCAGTTAATTGCAGTGAAAGGCACGTTGCCAGTGGTCTTCCCAGAATATGCCCCTCACTGCAGCCACATTCCTCCCACCTTTCTTGCCGCTTTCTGAAGCAGTTCTGGAAGTCCTCTTTCCTGAGTGTCTTTAGTTGTGCTGGTGTGGTGGTGACAGCATTCTGAATCAGTTCAAAATCTTTGCTCTTCACCATCATTTTTAATTTGTGGAGGAGCCAGCAGTCACTTCATGCCTGGTCTGCTGATGAAGGTGAACGAAGGGCAGGCACTGCGATGGTTTCACAAGCCTGCCTTTTCATTGGATGGCTTGAGGCGGCTGTGTTCACTCACAGAAAGACTTCCAGGGCTGAGGCGGAAAGTGGCAAGAAGGATGAGATAAGTGTGTCTGAAGAGAGAGGGAGTATTTTGAGTGGGATTCATGACTCCCTTGAGTGGTGTCTTTTATTGTAACATTAGAAAAATAAACATCTGCTGTATTTTTTTTATCACACCTCATATTTCCTCATAATTCAAATCCTCCACTGTATGTAAAAGGACTGGTGTGTGTATATATGTATGTGTGTGTGTGCACATGTGTGCACACACACACATGTGTGTAGTGGCATACCCCATGTAGGTGACTGTATATCCCGCTTTGCCTGAGTAGTTTTGGTTTATCCCAGGTATACAAGGCAGAATCATATAACAGTGCCCGTTCTCACCCATAATATTCTCTTTTTTTAAAAAAATATTTATTTATTTGATACAGGGTCTTGCTACACAGCTTGGACTCATAGTGATCCTCCTGTCTCAGCCTCCTCAGCACTGGGATTACAGGCACGCACTACCATGCCTGGTTTTAGTAGCTGGGTTGGTGGTCCTGGGGTTTTGGGGCTGGCATGGCATGCAGTACTGGGCATGCAACTTGGGACCTTGTGCTTACCAGGCAGGCACTTAAACCGCCTAGTTATCTCCCCAGCCCCATGATATTCTCTTGATGTGTACAATGGATTATACGTTCCATATTTTTCACTTATGTTCTTAGCTATATCCAAAGCTCCTTACAAGACAGTATTTCCTGTTTCCTTGGTGCCTCGCTGCCTCTGGGGCAGCACGGAACTTGGCGGTGGACCTTCATGAATGTCTTTGGAGGAGAATAGAAGACTCGGCAAGCCAGCGTGCTTTGTGCGTGAAAGAGCCTTCCCTGCCGCTCTATTCATAAATACTTATGAATGATGGGGATGGAAGCTGAGGGCATCCTTTAAAGCTCAATGTGTATTAAACTTTTATTTCCACTGGCAGTAAAAGGTGGCTAGATGTCAGCTGGGTGCAGGCCCCTGTGACACCCAACCCATGCCCTTTTCCCGCGTGACACCAACGCTCTTATGTATCCGGCTGTCCTCTCACTTTGTCCTCTTGCCTCGCAGCTGCATCGGATGCTCATGCTCACCACATGTGTGCTCACCTGCATTGCGTTTGTCCTGCCTTTTATATACAGAGGAGGCTGGAGTTGGGTACGTATGTCTCGAACAGGGTGTTTCTAATACGGTGTATATTGATGGCAAAATGAATTCTATTTCATGCTCAAATGATGAGCAAAAAGCTATTTCTCTCTGTGTCTGTTTTGGGTTGTCTGGTGACAGTTTCATAAAGCTCGGGGTCAGAGGTGGAAGATGGTAAGTACATACTCTTGGGTACTGCAGTGGCTTTCGATCTGCATCCGATGTACACATCACAGCTTTAGTGAGTTCTGTGATTACAGAGTGGTTAAAATTCGAAGTGTGAAACTTAGGAAACATGAATAATGTAAGTAAGTTCTCTAACTAGTACTATGATTATTACTAGGCTAACGTAAGTTGCATTCCTTGCATGTGCCCAGCTGTTGCAAGTGCCTTATATGTGTTAGCAGATGTCCATCACAGATGAAGCCAGTATTGATAATAAGACCTTGACACAAATGAAACTGAGGCCACTCTCAGGGATTTCTCTCTCCTACTCATTTGTCAGTGTAATTCTTGTTTGCGAAGACTTCCCACAATGGCTTAGACACCACTGTGTCCATGTTTTAGGCCATGGATTTACAGTCTGTGGGAGCCACAGAGTGTCATATCACTTAGGGCTCTGAGTCACAGGTTGGAGACTTCTTGGATCTACTCAAGTGTTCCAGTGGAATTGTCACACGAGGTGGCCCATCACAGCCACCTGCTGGTTTTTTAAAAATTTTTTTGTATTTTAGGGAAGGGACTACAGGGTGTTCAGGGTCTCACTACTAGATTGGACTCAGTGATCCGCCTGTTCACAGCCTCCCAAGAATTAGTATTACAGGTGCGCATCACCACGCCCAGTCTCAATTGCTGTCTCAGCGTACCTGGGGCCGGGGCCAGCAAGGCAAGCTGGGGATTGAATCCCAGCCCCTGTGCCTGCTTGCAGGTGCTTTAATCCACTGAGCTATTTGGCCGGCCCTCACCTGCTGTTTTGAGGAGCACCCATCATCACAAAGGCAAGAGAACTGTTGAGATTCTGTGTTGATTTTTTTTTTTTTTTTTTTTACTTGAGTTAAGTCTTCATTCAACACAGAGGAGATAGCTTTAGTACAGTAGTTGTACAGGTTTTTCATTTAATCAATATTTATTGAGCGAACAAGACTGTTTTCAGCTCTGGAATTACATGCAGAACTCAGCTTAGAGAAACAGAGAGGTCTAAACAAACGATTATGGCACTAAGGTGATTCTTTTCTGTCTTTTTGAGGCAGGGCCTCGCTGTGCAGCTCAGGCTGGCCTTGAGCTCACTTTGTAGCCCAGGCTGATCTTGACCTTGCAGTGATCCTCCTGCCTCAGCCTTCCAAGTGCTGGGATTACAGGCCTGCGTCACCACACCAGGCTTTGCGGTGGCTGCTCTTGACATGTGGGCATGCACTGGGCCTCGTCGGGCTACAGATGGCCCTCCTGGTGTTGGTGATCACTTAATACCCTGATGGAGGGAAGGCGGCATCCTGTAGATGGCGCCACCTCAGCCATTTACACGCTGTGGGCTTGGACGCAGTACTTGGGACCTGAGTTACAGGTCAGGAGTTGAGTGAGCCTTAGAGCTAGCGCACGGGTGGAGCCTCATAGATGTTGCCTGTCATGGTCACTGTCAGCAGCAGCAGCAGCAGCAGCAGCAGCAGCAGCAGCAGCAGCAGCAGCAGCAGCAGCAGCAGCAGCAGCAGCATCGAATATGCAGGAATAAAGCCGTGGAAAACCTCTAACTATACACTTGAGTATATTGTTTTTAACTTGATGATTTAAATTGTTCTGAGAGAATTAATGCCGTACAACTGTGTCCAGCACGCAGGTTACCACCCGTATCTCGGCTGTGTAGTCATGACCTTAGCGGTTCTGCAGCCGCTCCTGGCAGCCTTCCGGCCACCTTTCCACGACCCAAGGTACTTATGGCTTTTGCATATTTGCTGTCAGCATGGATGCCATTAGTTGGCAAGCAAGTCCCTTTTTAAGTGGAAGCAATTTTAACATTATAAAGTTAAAAAATAAAGCATGGTAACAAATTGTATTTACTTTGAGAGGCCTTAAAATGTATTTCAGATATCTAATTCCTAGGCAATAAAGGAAATCACTTGCCTTTTATTTCCTTGGGGATTAATTGTTGTTCCATCAAGATTAAAAATACTGATTGATCGTTCATTTTGTTAGAAGGCAAATATTTAACTGGACTCACTGGAGTGTGGGAACAGCTGCTAGAATAATAGCAGGTAAGTAATTGCGATGCCACTTATGTATAATTGCTGGTTGCTTACATTGGAAGTTGTAATCTGGCTTAAATGATCGTTAGGTGCATTCGTAATTGGAGTAATTGGTTGTTGAAGCGAAATTAGCCTTAAACACTGAAATCCAGAAAGTAATTTTTACAGGTAATAATTTAAGTCATTATTTCAGGTTTAAGTTTTTAAAAATAACTTTAAAATTCTTTTTAAGACTTTTTTTCCTTGAGTGTTTGTCTTCACCTGCAGAAAAAGCCATGCTGATAAACATTAGAGCAGCTCAGATTGAGGGGCAGTTCTGAGTTGCACGGAGGTGGTTGGGGATCCACGGCCGCCGTCTCATGTCATTTGCTCAGGGCTTGTGCCTTGAAGAGGTGCTTTGCCAAAGGCAAGAACCATCATGTAATATCTCTTGATTCTTTGTACAATGTCCCCTAAGGCAGTTGGCTTCACCTCTAGCATTTCTATAGTTTGTGGAGCTGAAAACAGATAAGGGAATGCAACCAGCAACGGTTTCCATACTTTTACCTTGCCTTGCCTTGCTTTGCCTTTCCGAGACAGGGATTTGCTATGCAGGCCAGGCTGGCCTTGAACTCACTTTGTACTCAGGTTGGCCTTGAACTCACAGCAGTCCTCCTGCCTCAGCCTCCCAAGCACTGGGATTACAGGCATGTGCCATCACATCCGGCCTTTCCCTTCTTACACTGCAGACTTAAAACATTTTGGAAAGTTTGGGTGCCCCTTTTTCAACAACTGACAGATTGTAATTATAATTTTTTGTCTTGATCCATTTAGTATCACAGTAAAAAAGGCTAAACTGACCAAGAGATATAGCTCAGAGACATAGCACCTGCCTGGCAAGCATGAAGTACTGAGTTCAAGTTCTGATATAAAAAAAGGCTAATTTAATTACTTGGCCTTAAATATCAATCTTATTTCATGAACTCTTTTAGTATGTTTTAATTGATATACTATACACACATACATAATTATCTCTTTTGGTGGAGACTGTATATATTTTCTTCTCTTGTACTTAGTGGCAGCAATGTTCCTAGGGATGGATTTGCCAGGATTGATGCTTCCTGACCCACAGAAAACCTATGCAATGATTGGATTTATCCTCTGGCACACGGGGGCTGAGATTGTCCTGGAGATACATGCCTTCCGGCTCTCTCGAAGAGGTGAGCTGCGGGAAAGGCCATATTTTTCTGGGATCACTTTTATATAAACTACTGAAATACAGTTTTAGCTTCCTGGTACTTATGGCTGACTGTAACATGGTAGATCCCTAATAATTTCTGCTGTGATTACTCAGCCCGTGATACAAGTTGTGAGAATCATTTGTCTTTTTGTTTTTCAAATGTACTTTGGTATTAGAATTTGTGAGTGAAATATAAGAGAAAGAGTTCAACTTTTCGAGAAGTCATTTTTAGAAGTACTTTCACTTTGCAACTGGCCTGACCTGGAGCCACCACACAAGGGGAACTCTGAGGGGCTCTGAGGGGTTGGGAGGAACTGAAATGGAGAAATAGAAAAGCTGGGTCAGTGAAGGGCGGAGGTGCAGCCAGATTTTACCTGTTTGACAAACTACAGTGTGTTCTTCTTTAGATTTTTATTTTATTTTATTTTTTTGTACCAGGGATTGAACTCAGGACCTTGTGCTTGCCAGGCAAGCACTCATTCTACTGAGCTATCTCCCCAGCCCCACTCTTCTTTAGATTGCCTTGTCCACAAACTTGCAGCCAGATAGGACCCCCTCTGCCTGTGTTGTCCAGTGGTAAGCTCTGGTTTGGCTTTAGTGATAGGCGGAGCCAAGTTATGTGTAGCCATCTGTGAGAACTTAGTAGATTCCAGGCTGGGTGTCTTCCGTGTCCCATCTCTTTTTTTGTCTCCTGAAAATAGTGACCTCATAGCAAAAACTCTTTTGTTGTCAAGTGTACATGTTGTGAATCTAGGTTGGGCCTTTTAAGAGCCAAATTGTAATATCTGCCTGCCAACTTTGGCTCTTGGTAGGGTTACACGCATGGGATTTTTGATCACTGCTGAATTATGGTTTACTTAAGCTACTTGATACTTAAAACTTCAATTGTTATATGTTAATTGGTTTGCTTTAGCTACTCCACAGTGTACACAGAGATGAGAATACCATGTAGTATACACTGTATAATTTTACTGGTAATGAAGAAAGTAAAAATTTAAGAGCTTAGCATGCTCAGATTTGGCGTGGTGTTAATGTCCCACAAGATAGCTTTAAAAAAAGCCCTTTAACCAGTATGTGCTGTGATCAGCTGTCTTGGTTTGTGAAAGGAGGTTTGCAACATTTTGTATCTTGAAATGTAAAACTCACTCCCAAGAAACTGGTGAACAATTAGAATCAGGTTTTATTTTTTGAAAGTTTACCTGCGTAGCACTGTCCTTACAAATTTATGCTCTTCTTCACAGTCGAAATATTGGATGATGACAGAATTCAGATCCTTCAGTCGCGCTCTGTATCCGAAGCAGAGGTAAGCAGGTCTTGGCCTTCTTGCTTACTGATGTAAATCTTCAGTTTGGTACTTTGTTTTATATTTCCATTTTTCTTTCAGGGCCATACTTTTAAAAAGGCAGTGTTTGCAGTTTATGTCTGTGGCAATGTGACTTTTCTTATCATATTCTTATCTGCGATCAGCCATCTATGAAGAAGTAGACTGCTTTGTGGACCAGTAAAGACTGTCTTTATCATCAAATGGAATACACTTGAAGTTTGTACTGCGGGCCTGGCCTACATTCATGAGTTCTGATTCGGAAGACCAAGCATGTTTCGAGGGGGGAATCCTGATGCTTGTCTTTAGAAATAGAACTCAGTAGCGTCATAGAGACCATAAACGGATGTGAAATTCTGTGTGCTTGAGCAGTGACTCTCGAATGTTCCAGGCCAAGATCTTAAGAATGTTAGTATTTAAGAGAATAAACAAGAAAGATCTGGACAAACAAACATGCCACGCAGAGAAGATTGTGTTAAGGTAAACTGTTTTGGACTCTAAAGCTGCTGTGATACTCTAAAGAAAATGTTTATTTTTACCAATTTATCTGAATGGTCTTCAGGTTTTTTAAAAAAGAAACTTTTGGGGGGCATTTTATTTGCCCTATACTTCAGTACTTCTCTGGCTAAAGATAGAGGTGGGATTGACCTCACTGTAGATTTCATTAGTATCTATTTTTACTAGTATAATTTCTTTGTTAGCAGTGAAATTCAAGTAGGCCTTTCTTTCTTTCTTTCTTTCTTTCTTTCTTTCTTTCTTTCTTTCTTTCTTTCTTTCTTTCTTTCTTTCTTCTTTCTTTTGTATTTTAGGGAAGGGTACAGGGTGTTCAGGGTCTCACTACTAGATCAGACTCATAGTGATCTGCCTGTTTACAGCCTCCCAAGAGCTGGGATTACAGGCTTGCACCACCACGGCCAGTCTCAATCATTTTCTCAGTGCGCCCCAGGGGTGGGGCCGGTATGGCAGATCCTGGGATCAAACCTCTGGCCCCTGCGCCTGCTTGCAGACGCTTTAACCCGCTGAGCTATTTGGCTGGCCCTCAAGTAGGCATGTTCTCCCTAAAGATTTTACTTATTTATTCAGCTGCAGAGTATATGCTAATTGTTTTGACTATAACATTTAAATCTTATATCATTTGAACCTTGCAAACTTGTATTTTAAAGCTAGTAAAGCTCACCCTTGGATTCATAAGTAACAGATGTTCTCTTCCCTTGTTGAAATAAAATAATATGGGTGAATTTGTTTTGTAAGGGGTTCCTAATGCTGTAATGAATCAGCAGAGTCAGTGTTACTTTATTTTTATAATTTGCTTTCTGTTTTTATTGTTGTCTCCTTTGCTATGAGGTCTTCTAGCCAGTGGGTGGCGCCATAATACTGAGGTTCTCGTTGGTTCCTGTTTTTCTGTGCCGTGATTCACTTAGTTCTTAAGAGTTAGGGGATTTGAAAAAAAAGAAAAAAAAAAAAAAAAAAAAAGAGAATGGTATTTTCCTGACAGTCTACCAACTTTTCTTAATCTTTATTTGAAATACTTCTGTATTTTCTTTTGGGTTGGAGTTACGGGTGTAGAAATTTGAACTAGGGACAGTGTTATTATTGTTTAGTTTGTTTTTTAAAAATAACAGTTGTTTGGTATTTCCTTTTAAGTTTCTTTACATATCCTGTAGCAAAGGAACATAACTGTCTTAGGCAAAAGAGACAAGCAAAACAGCACATTTTTTTAAATAAAAGCTTTATTAAAATAAAATCTTTTCTGATTATTTTATAGTTTTGGCGTGAACCTAATTTCTGTATGTAAATAGTAGCCGTGAGTCCTACATCTTCTACTGGATGGTATGATATGGGAGTTCTGTTTTTATTCCTTATGTAGACAGTTAGTCTAAGCACCTCAGGGTTTAGATAAGAACTTTCTATGTTCCTGCTGTACTGGTGCAACAGTACTTATACGTAGACCTTGCAAATGTTTATTTTTAAAAATTAATGTAATAAATTAAATGTACATTAAAACATTTTCCACATGTTTTCTGTTGTAATGGGTCTAAAGCCTAACAAATGTCTCTCTATAAACTGTGTTCTGTATCTAAGGCAAATTTTGTTTAAGGGCAAGAGGACCCTTGGTAATAGCTTTTTCTTTCTGTGCCTAGAATTGAACTCAGGACCTTGCACTTGCCAGGCAGACACATGTGCCGCTGAGCTATCTCCCCAGTCTGACTCTTGGTTATGTTTGGTAGGAGTTTGCCGGGTTTCTAGGGCTGAGGCCAAAAATCACAACTTTTTCTTTTTTACTGATACTTGTTCTGTTCTGTTAACTGCCCTAGTGGACATAGAGAGTTGTCAGAAGAAATCATTGTCATCTACCCTAAGTCTTTTTTAAAAATTAGTTTTATTTTATGAAAAAAAGTTCAAAATCAAATTATGAGAGAATAACGGTAGTTATACTGTGTATCATTATTTTCAAAATAGTCACTCAGAAGGCAAGACATAAATCAAAAAGATTCTAAACCACTGTGGAAACCTGTGTAGCTATTCTTCAAAAAATAAAAATAGAAACTCCATTTGACCCTATTTCCCTTTTATTTGTCTTCCTCAAAGAGTTAAAATTATCGTATTATAGAGACACATGCATACCTTGGTTTATACTATAGTTTAATTTAGTTCATGGAAAACATGTATTTAGTGTGAGTTTCTTTTTATTTTAGAATCTAAATCCTTCCAGTGTACCAAATTATAATCTTTCTGCTTATGAGTGATTGGTACCCACAAATTTCAAATACTTATTCTTTACTTCTCTGAATTTCTTGTCTAATAGTCTGCCTCGTTTCAGAAATCACTTCTTTCTTTGGCAGTGATTGTGAAGCTTAATGTCTTTATAGCTTAGCGACATTGCTCCACATAGGGAGCAAAATTGTAAGTTTTCTTCGAGAAGCAATGCTCTGTAAAATAAAGATCGGCATGTTTTTCAGAAAAAAAAAGTCATTCTAGAAAATTGTGGTTAAGATAGTATTCATAATTGCGACTTCGTTTTGCTGGAGTGCATGCATGGTTTTTTCAGAAGCTTTGGCTGTGATGTGGTAAGCGATGTCTCATCCCTCCCACATCTGGCTCCGGTGCAGGCTTGGGAGAAGGCAAATCCATAATTTCCAACTGGGAAGTCCTAGGGGCACATGTAACTCTTGGCCAAAATTCTATTTGAATTCCCTAGTGACTTCAGGCAGGAGAACAAAGGTCCTTGCTCAAGTTAATCTATTATAGGTGGGAATGAAAGCAAAGATTCTACTCGTTCTTCCTCTTGATATTCTGCTTCTTCCTTGTCTGCCTCCGAGAGGCTCATCTGTGCGGCAGCGTCGATGGTGCTCACCTGCCCGGAAGGCCGTTCTGGCTTATCGAGACTTAGCCCCAGTTCCTCCTCCTGCTCCTGCCTGCCCGGTTCTCCTTTTCCTCACCTTTCCTCTAAGTTTGGTGGGGGTGGGAGGTGGGTAGGAGACAGGTCATCTTGTAAGCTGAAAAGGGGTGGGAACTGGAGGAGTGAAGGGTCCCCTTGCGTGTCCATTCGCAAGCTGCGCGCTTGCAGGGGGCTGCCTGCCCTCGGTGAGCTCCGCTCCGTGGGGACAGCCCCTCCCTCCAAGCAGGGGTGAGGATGGAAAGAAGGGAGGCAGCCAGCGGGGCTGCTGTGACCTGTGGTGAGGATGTCTCCACCATTTGGTTATGGTATTAAACCTCATGTTTGGGGGCCGGGGAGATGGCTCAGTAGAATAAGCGCTTCCCTGGCAAGCGCAAGGGTCTGAGTTCAATCTCCAGTTCCTCAAAAACAAAAACAAAAACACCTTAAGTTTGTGTATAAAATGTATAATTTTTATTATAAAAAATACTTGATGTTCATCTTGAAAACATCGGGCTAAATGAAATAAGCCACACAAAAGGGACAACCGCTGCCTGGCTGTGCTCATCCATGGCACCTGCAGTAGTCAAATGTGTACAGGTGGAAAGTAAGACAGTGTTTACCGAGGTGGGGATGGGGGCGCCCAAAAGGGTGGATGTTGTCTTCGTTTAGGGTTTTGAACAGTTATGGAGATGTGGTGCGGTGATGGTTGTACAGCGCTGTGAATGTGCTTAATGCAACAAACGGTGCACTTAAGCATTGTTAAAAAATGGCAAAAAGAGAAATAAATAGCAAAAAGTGGAAAACTGTCTGTGCTATACTACTCCTGATGTCCTGGATGATGGAAGCAGTCCTATACGGTCGTCACAGGGTGGGTGGGTTGTGTGGTAATCATACAGTGGAGCATTACGCAGGCATAAAGTGGAGAGAAGTCTGGGTCCATGTAAAGATGTAGCTCAGCCTCGAAACTGTGACGCTCAAAGTGCGCGTGTTGTTTGGTGTCATTTGTATGAAATATTCAGGATAAGTGAGTATACAGAGATGGAAAGCGCATTGATGGCTGCTGGGGGCTTCGGGGGAGAGCCAAGGAAGGAAGGAGTGGGGAGGAATCAGGCTGGCGAAAACGTTGTAGGACTGGAAAGAGGCGGTAGTGACACAGCAGCATGAACAGAAGAGACTGTAAGTGGTCGACTTTACGTCAGGAGAATTTTAGCCCAGTAAAAGATATTTCTCATATTGCTGTTCTTAGAGAGTACCTCAGCCATCACTGAGACACAGTACTTGACACACGCAGGTTAAAGGAGGAGAGCTTTATGCTAGGTCACATTTCTAGTCCCTTGTAAACTGGCTCCTCAGTAGACGCTTGCTAGGTGGGCCTGGGCGGAGGAAAGCTGCTCAGGTCATGGTGGGCAGGAAGCAGGGAGGGCAGGGAGGAGCCAGGAAGGAAGTGACGTTTCCACATCAGACCTCCAGCGACCTGCCTCTAATTAGACACCCCACCGCCCAGGTCTCCCCGCCTCCCCCTGGCTCTGATGCCCTACCAGAAACCTCTTCTGAACACATGGGATTTGTTCCGGATCTAAACCATAACAGTACCTTTGGGTAAAAAGATCCGGGTGTTTTCCTGTCCATAAACTTGGCCTAGCATCTTATTTTGTTATCCAAGAAGTGAATGTAGTTGTCTTATGCCTGGGCTTCTGGTTTTGGGGAGAAGAGGACACTGTTGCCTATACTAAGAAGTGTATCTTTTTCATAGATAGCTTACACATAAAAGAAATTGTACTGTGCTCTAGGTTACCTGTGAGGACCCAAATAAGTTTTTTGATTTTTGGTCAGACACTGATCTGTGATAATCAAACTCTTTGGATAAGAATTTGTTGAAACAGTGCTTTCTAAATGTTGACATCCACTACTAGTAATGTGTGTGTAAGATTCTACCAAACCAGCCTTCTCTGTAAAAAGTCTTGTTCATGGTCAAAAGGCATATTATGGTTTGGCTCTGAAATGTCCCCTCAGAGTCTCAAGTGTTTGGAAGGTGACTGGATGATGGGGACACTGTGCTTGCTAGTGGGCTAGTCCCCTCATGATTTCATAGCTGAGGTAGGGCCTGGCTGGAGGAGGCAGGTCATTGTGTGCATGACCAGGAAGGATGTCTCTCCCTCACCAGTTCCTCCCTTTTCCACTCGGCTTCCTGGATGCCATGATTTGAGGAGCTTTTCTTTGTGCTAGGCCCTTCAGCCATGCCCTTCCTGTCTTGGAGCCCACTGGCTGTGGACTGAAAATGTGGTCCAAAGTAAACTCCTGCTTTAATTTGTGGGTGTTGGACACTGCAACTCAGTGATGGTGAGAAACAGTGACTACAGTAACCTT